CACCTTGAGGTCACATCTGTCACCTTTCGACTGGACCAAAACCCAAAGTCTGACAACACGTCCTACCTAGGAATTGAATATTCTCGTGTTATTTCTGATGAGGTTACAAATGGTCTACTGTTATGGAGGACAGCCAAAAGAATTTGAAAATTGGGGGCTTACATTTACAACAACAGAAAGAGCAGGGAGAGAAAAAACAAATAAGCAGGAAAAAAAAAAAAAAAAAAAAAAGGAAGAGGCCTCAAGCTAAACCCTTGAGAAATGGCCATTCCAGACCCGAATCAGCTTGTCCTGGACACATTTTATTTAGTGGCCCTGAACTAACAACCATAGCTAACATTTACTGAGAGCTCGAAATCAGGCAGAATTCTAAATGCTTTAGATGTATACTTTTGCCCCTGTTGGTCCCACAATGTTTTTTTTCTGTCTTCCCTATGACATTTCACTTCTGTCTTCACTCTCTGTTGTGAAGAAAAGATGCAGAGGTGCGAGGAGAAAAGTAGGTTAAAGAAAGAAGTGTTTATTGTAGAAAAAGAAAGAACTCTCTGGGAAATGAAGTCAAATGACCAAGTTCAGAGGCGTGATGGGCAAATCAAAGAGCCTGTGTAGGTTGAGTTAAGATCATTCACTAATTACAGTTATCTTTAAGCAACAGAATCTCTCCCATAAATGCAATAAAACAAAAAAACACACTGCCAATTGAGTGGAAAGAGTGCCACCTACTGGAACCTTCTGAAATAATGTAGGCTGACCCATTTGAAAGTTGCACTGCCCTCTCAAAAACAATGTGAAACCTGTTACCGGTTTAGGAAAGAAACAAGATATGACTTCAGCAGCGCAGAACAATGCAACATACAACTACCCTACCAAAAAGCAAAGAGCTTAAATAAAGAAATATCAAACCTGGAATTCTACTCTGTGTATTATTATTCCTCGGCATATGGTTAGGTGGCTCACACAACCTTGTTGAAAGGCCAGTGCGGTGGCCTCATAAGGCTGTTAATCCTAGCTCCTTCGGGGCCTGGGGGAGAGAGAGGCCTCGTTGGCCCCGCACACCAGGCGCCCCGCGAGCCCAGCATGGCGCCGCGCAGGGAGGGAGGGCGGCGTCGCGCGCGGGCTGACGTCACTCTCCGGCGTCCGGCCGGCGGCGGGCATGCGCAGTGGCGTCGGCAGGACGCCTGTCCATTCCTGCCAGGATCTTCCCACGCCTGTGCTTGTGAACCAGGGCTTGTCCTAGTGGCTCACCCTGTAAGGGAATATTTATTTTTATTATTATTTTTTTCTTTTTTTTTACTTGAAGTCAGTCAAGGAAGTATTTTTATTATTTTTTAAAATGTTTTCCCTTTATATTTTTTTTCTTTCTTTTTTTATCACGACTGATTAGATACAAATTATTATTATTATTATTATTTTGAGACAGAGTCTCACTCTGTGGCCCAGGCTAGAGTGAGTGCCGTGGTGTCAGCCTCGCTCACAGCAACCTCCAACTCCTGGCCTCAAGGGATCCTCCGGCCTCAGCCTCCTCCCTAGTAGCTGGGACTACAGGCATGCGCCACCATGCACAGTTAATTTTTTCTATATATTTTTAGTTGGCCAATTAATTTCTTTCTATTTTTAGTAGAGACGGGGTCTTGCTCTTGCTCAGACTGGTCTCGAACTTCTGACCTCGAGCGATCCTCCTGCCTCAGCCTCCCAGAGTGCTGGGATGACAGGCGTGAGCCTCCGCGCCGGGCCTCTTTTCTTTTCTTTTTTTTTGAGACAGGGTCTCACTCTATTGCCCAAGGTAGGGCACAGTAGCATCATCGCAGTTCACTGCAACCTCAAATGCATGGGTTTCAGCGATCCTCCTGCCTCGGCCTCCCAAAACACATGCTACCATGGCCAGCTAATTTTTAAAAGATTGTTAGAAGTAGCAACCCGACATACTTTTTCAGGTTGAACCCATCATTACTTTTGTATATTCAAAATCATAACTTCAGCTTGATTCCTATTAAAAAAAGAACAAAACAAAAGGAATAAAAGAATATTTTTAAAAATAATAAAAATAAACCAAAACAAAATACCAAATTAAATTTCTTCCATGTCATGTAGACGTGGTTATTCTGTGTCAGACAACATCAAGCACAAGAAATACATGATAGATAACATATCCTGTTTCTTATAACTGAGTCAAGCGAGGCAAATTGTTGGACGTGTTAAATCACTAATGCATCGTCATGTACCATGCTATGGCAGCAAAAAAAATGAGGAAAGTGATGTGAGTGAAGATGAAGTATGAAACGTTTGAGCTGCTTAATAACCATGAGTTTCCACTTAAAGAAGGAAGAGTTCTAGAATGGTCTAGGTAACAGTAAAGGAACCGCACAACATATAAGGAGCAAAACATAAAGCACTGTATTTCAGATCTCAACCATGTTGTGAGCCTAAATTCATTATGGGCTGCAGGTTGGTCCTCACCCTTCCATCCTAACACTCTGGAGCGATGCAGGAGACGCTCGATGTCAGATTCGAGACCAGCCTTAGCATAGCAGACCGTCTCTACTAAAAATAAGAAAGGAATAGCTCCACTAAAATACACTAAATAAAAAATAGCTGTGCATCTGGTGTCTCGCTTTGTCCA